GGTCCCCCCGCGGCTCTCCTGGCCCCCCTCGGGCCCGTCCCCCCTCCGCACACAGCGCTGGCCCGAGGGCCCCTGACTCAGAACCGCACCCCCGTTGGGAGAGGACCCGTGGCCTTGGCTCCCCGCTCACTAATGATGCTTTTCTTGGCACGGAGGAGCGGCGGCGTGACCCTTCCGCCCGGGCTCGGTGCAGTCATTTATTTTGGAAGCGGAAATTGCAGCGCTGTGTTTCTCTCACCGCCCTCGCGGCCGAGGCTGGAGTTTGGGCAGGATCCCCCGACGGTCTGGGGGCCTGCAGAGCCGTGGGGGAGCCAAGGGCCGGGCAGCCAGTGCGGAGAACCGGCCCCTAAGTAAGTAAGCCTGGTTGGGGGGTGGGCTGCAGCCTGGGTGGGAGCTGAGGCCCTCGTGGAGTTTTTCCTGCACGGGGGGAGAAAGTGGGCTCAGCCGTCAGAGTGCAAATGCTTTTAGAAGCCCCTCATTTACATGCAAATAATGTGTGAATCACCAGCAGTGGGGCGTCCAGGAAAACTGCTTGGCGGCGCTTGGGCTGGTCCCAGTGGCAGGAATGCTGCCGCCTGTCTTTCCGAGAGTGCTCTGAGCTGGATGAGCCTCTCACCCTGAGTGAATTCGCCCGTGCTTGAGGTTGACCACAGACCTGTGCGCAGGGGCAGAGCATTCAGAGAGCGCCCTTTACGGACCCAGCCTCTCCAGGCCCTTCACAGGTGGCGCTGGTCCCTGGGGGTAGGTCACTGTGTTCACTGAGCAAACCTTAGAGAGCTAAGTCACCGTCTGGGGTCATTCAGAGAAATAGATCACAGTTATTGCTGTCATTGAACTTGCAGCCCCCTGCGGAAGCCAGGACGTCGCCTAAAGGGACGACAAAGAACAAGGTGTCCGAGCAGGGGTAGATAGCAGAGCCAAAGGGCAGCATGAAGGAGCTGCCCTTGGGAGGACAGAGATGGGCAAGGGTGAGGCAAGTCCACGGCCTCCTTGGAGGGGGGTGGGCTTACACCTGACCTTCCAGGGTGAGGAGCAGTTAGCCTGGCAGAGGCTCTGGGAACGGGCATGTCAGTCTGGGCCGTGTGAACAGAGGTGGTCGCCATCCAGCCGAGGAGCCGGGGGTCGGAGGGCATGGGGACCACTGGATCCAGGAGCCAGTGCCATTGCTCTGCGGCCCAGAGTTCCTCCAGCACCTGACGCTGGCGTGGACGTGTGATGCGTGCAGCAGGGTCTCCGAGCCAAACCGTGGAGGCCGTTTAATGAACCGCCTTCCTTCTGATTCCCAGAAACCCCACCCCCTGGCTACCTGAGTGAAGATGGAGAGACCAGTGACCACCAGATGAACCACAGCATGGATGCAGGTCAGAGGCTCAATCTTAACCGAGCGCCTGCCTTCCCTCTATCCATCCCTCCATCCCATTTATAGAGCAGCCCCCACGTGCCCGGCGCTGTGCCAGGCGCTGGGGATAGAGGAGGAGCCTGAGCTGCTCCCAGTTGGGGAGGGAGACAACTGGCAGTTATATGCCCTGACGGAGGACGCACCCCCCCCCATGCCATCGGGCACAAGGGAGGGCCGCCTGGGGAGGAGGTGTTGGGGTGGAGAAGCGCCTCACAGTGTAGGTGTCCCTTGAGTCTTGGAGATGGGTAGGTGTTGGCCAAGCCATCGGGGCAGGCAAAAGGTATGCCAGGCAGAGTCATGGGGCTCGTGGGCAGGACAGCCCGGTGCCTCCTGGGGACGGTGTGGCTGGAGAGTGTGGAGAGGCAGGAAGACCCTCATTCGGGGCTTCCGGTGTGGCCGGGAACCCCCGCAGGCTTTAAGCAGGGTCTGTCCCCCTTGGGGGATGCTGCTGGCAGTCGGCTGGTGGGTGGGCTCGATCCCCCGAGCCCTGTCAGGAGAGCCCGCATGGAGGCAGGGTCTTTGCCGGGGGAGGCTGTGCAGCATCTCTTTGTGTGTAGTGACCAAACGTGATCGATGTATTCCTGCCATGAGGGACCCAGCCCCGTTGTCTCCAGCCCCGTCTCCAGCCCCATCTCCAGATGTTCCCACGTCATTTGTCTTGGGACCAAATTGGCTCCAAACCAGCGGCTGCTTGAATTGAACCCCAGCTGCCACATAGAATGTGCACTCGTTGTGTGTGGTTCGGGGGGAGGAGGAGGAGGAGGAGGGAACTGAGCAGATGTTCCGTCCCGATGAGAGCGGGCATGCCTGGTCCACACGGCGCCCTGCATGAAGCAGAGCCACCCACCCTGGCACACAGCCCAGAAGAGGTTGTGCGGTTCCTGCAAGAAGCCCGAAGGAGACTTGCCCGTTCACTGTAGACCTAGCTGCTTGATACCCAGCCTGGGCGTCATGGCACGTGGGGGTGAGCACACACACACACCTCCTCCCCCCCCCCCCGCGAGGGGCGGACGGTGCGAACCCAGCTGGAATGCATCGAAGGCCTCCCTGTGTTCGATGCCAAGTGGCCGGGGCAGGCCTGCAACTCTGCAGCTCTGAACACCGGTGCGGGACGCAGGGTGGCCGAGCAGCATCTCCCCAGATGCTGCCTGGCTTCTCGTTCCTTTCTCTCCCCTCCTTGCTGTTCTTCCTGTTCATGGACCCATTACTGTTGTCAAAGAAAACACACCAAAGGAGAGGGTCCGAGTACTGAATGAGCAGCCAGCCCCCTGTCCCCCTCGGCTCTCGTTTCTCGCTCCCTCCCCGCTCTCCTTTCTGCCCCCATTCTCTCTGTCCCCTCTTCTTTCTTCCTCTCCCCCCATCAGCGCATTTGTGAGGCCCTGTTGGGGCCGTCAGTGATCTGTCAGAGGTGGACATTGGGCTTTAGGGACCCCCCAGCCAGTGGGTGGGTGGGTGGGGTCTCCTGCTTCTCCTCTGTTCTTGACTCAAAATTGTCCACTGGGAAACCAATCGAGTTGCTGTCTTGGCAGCTGAGATGTGACAGTGTCCTAGCTGGGGTCCAGCCCTGTGGCTCCCCTAACGTGCCTACCCCAGATGGGCTGCCACAAAACAGGAAACGAGCATTTATTGAGTGCCTGCTGTGTGTGGTCATCATGTAGCCATTTGTAGACGCAGGACCCCCCTTCACGTCTCCAAATCACACAGTGGAGGGTATTATCCCATTTACACCTAAAGGGGGGAAAGATATCAAGGCTCAAAGAGGTTAAACCACTTTGCTAAAACCCCACAGCTGATACGTTGGGAGCATGCCTGGACTCCAGGGCCAATTTGGAAGCTCTGCCTCTTCCAAGACTCTTCCATATCCCCTGATGGATTGGGTTCAGGAGGAGGAAAAGCAGCCCATGGCTCATCCCTCCCCCTCAAGGAGGTTACAGCTGAGTTGGGGAGCAGGAACAGACCGCCCTTAACAGCTCAGGGCACCTGTGCGGGCGGACTGGCGGGTCAGGGGAGAGCGCCCCCCACGGGGCTGTTCCTGAGTCACTGACCCGCCAGGCCTCTGGGTGCGGGACGGAGGGATGAGCCAAGTTGCTCTGCGGAGAGGCGCCGCTTGGTATTTCTGAAGGCTGATGCCAGGTGGTTTTCTCTTCTCTGGGAGCGAGGGGTGGAGAGAAGTAGCAGGGCAGGAAGCTTTGGGTAGGTTTGGACATTTTCCCACGGCAGTGTCATGCCTCACGTCAGATGTCAGTCTGGTTGCAGAGTTGTGGGATTTCTGAGGCAGCTTGCTGAGTTTCCTGAGACCCGGGGAAGGGGCTAGATTTGGGATGGGCAGGAGGGCGCAGCTTCGCTGCTGGGGCCTTTGAGCAAGATTGGGGAGCGAGCCTTCCCTGCCTGTCTCGTTTTCCTGGGGGCATAACTGCCAGGGAGGTCTGTGCCCTGTGCTGCGGGCTTGGTCAGGACCCTCACGCCATCAAGTCCTGGGAGAGACCTCTGAGGTTATCCGATTATCCGTTTGTGCCACAGGTAAAGATGGAGACCCAGGGATGGAAAGTCGAGCAAGGACCACGGGGTCAGGGCTCCTCCTGGGCCTTGGAGGCTCACCCCAGGGTTATCTTCCTGCTCCACTGAGCTGCCCCATCTTGATGTAGGCGTTCAGGAATTTGGCTCTCCAAGCCAAGAATGTTCTATTAGTTCTCACGATTGTGTCTCTCCTCGCAGGTTCTCCAAACCTATCCCCGAATCCGATGTCCCCAGCACACAATAATTTGGGTAAGTAGCTCCTCATCCATGGGATGGATGTAGCTCATCCATGGGACTGTCACCCCCTCTAGCTGCAGCCTTGGCTGGTGGCCGGTGTGGGGAGGGGGCCCTGACAGCGAGGCTCTCCCTGCACCCCCCCCTCCATCAGCTGAGCTCAGCCCATCAGGTTTCTGGTTACAGTGATTTTGGGGTCACCCACAGAACAGGGTAGCCTGAGAGCAGAGGTGGCAGGAAAAAGACGACCATGTGCCGGGTTTGTATTTCCTCTGGGTGGCAGTCAGACGTGAGTGAATGAAAATCCCCCAAACCTCGTGCTCAGGAGCCGAGAAGCTGTGGTCAGCCAAGCATCCGTGTGTGGTCTGATGCAAACCACGGACAGCAGTGCGGACTCCAGCCCCCGGACTTCTGTTGCCTGGTTTCAAGAGACACTTTGGATTTTATCTGAGTATTTCATCTTATAATTACGTACTTTTTAATTTTACTTATTTTTTTAAAGCTTGGTTTTTAAAAGATTTTATTCATTTGTCAGACAGAATGAGAGAGAAAGAGAGCACAAGCAGGGGGAGGGACAGAGGGAGAAGCAGGCTCCGCGCTGAGCAGGGAGCCCGATGCGGGGCTCGATCCCAGGACCCTGGGATCGTGACCTGAGCCGAAGGCAGATCCTTACCTGGCTTAGCCGCCCAGGCATCCCATGTACCTTTTCTTCGACACAGCAAGATACAAGGAAATCAGGGGGGAAAAGCGCAATTGCCATCATCCCCCCACCCTCCCACGCTGGTTTTGTTTTGTTATGGTCCTTCTGATGCTTGTGGATTCGGCCTGTGTATTTGTGCCTGGCCAGTGACCATCACGGTGTCCATTTTTTTTTTTTCATTCTTTCTGCTATTTTGTAAACGCATTTCCGTGTTTAAATGCCTCCTCTATCATCTTGCCTTGTCTCGTGAGGTGTTGGAGCAACTGGACCATCATTTCTGTGGCTTCTGGGCTCCAGGAGCGCCCCTCAGCTCCGGCGTGGAGCCTGCTGAAGGGCTCAGGACAAATGAAACATCCACTCTGTTTTTATTGAGGGGATTTTTTTTTTTTTTTTTTTTAATGTGTTGGTCTGGTGGTTTTGGGAAAATGTGAGTTTGATTTCCATTTGGGCCTTGACTGCTGGGGTTTGATTTGTGGCTCAGGAAGAGAAAGAGTTAATATCCAAGTTCGGTGAATCAGGGGATGGCGGTTGGTCTGGCTTTTATTCCAGTTGCTTCCAGTCCTTGACTGATAGCATCAGGATGAAGAAAAGCATTTAGAACATCGGGAGATGCCTGAAACCCCTTTCATACAGGCTGACAAGTGGGCAGTGTGAAATGTGACTTTGGGTGAATCTGTTCTAACATCTTTGTAAAATAATATCACTGTGGGTGTTGGGCTTTGCAGAGGGAAGGTCACATTCCTGATGTGAAAGGACCGACTGAGTTATTAAAAACAAACTCTGAAGGCTAGAAGCTGTGTTAACACTTGAGAAATGAAAGGCCAGGACTGTGAACTCGTCTCTGGGTTTCCAGCTTTCAAGGTTAGCTGGTTTGAATTTCATTTGGGGGCCGTTTTACTCCCCCCGCCCCTTGGCCAAGGCAGCCCAGTGAGTGCACAGACTCCGGGGCAGGCCCCTGCCTTGGAAGCCATGCTGCCTGACTCAGTGGTTCGAAATGAAAGTTGTCCCAGGTGGCGGCTTGCTGGGAATTCCCTTCTAGATTGTGTGGACCAGGACAACAGCATGGTTTTTGAACTTGGACCTGGGGCAGGGGTGGCCCATTGACTCAGTTCTCCCTCCCTGCTGCCCCATTCCTCAGGCCCCTTGTCTGAGGGCTGAGAATGCTTAGGTCATTTCTCCAAAGGAAGGAATAGCTCCTGAGCCTGGGGGGCAGAGAGTGGGTGCCAGTCTGTGGGAACACCTGAATGGGGGGGACGAGTCAGCTGATGAGTCGGGCGGGACTCGCGGTGAGACATCAGTGCTTCCTCTCTGCTTGCGGGGCCCCTGCACCCCCCTCCACCTTCACCCCTTCAACACTGTTGGCTTCATCCCTACCCAGAAAATCTCAGACTCCTGGCATCCTCGCTGGAAGGGGATGGACGATGGTGATGAGGATGGCAAACATTTCTTGACAACTTAGTGCTGTTCGGAGCGCTTCATGCGTGTTAACCCAGGGTTCATAACCGCTGCGTAAGGTGGTGGTGGTATGATTTTTCACCTTCCTAATTAGGAAGCCAAGGAGCAGGCTGGTCACCTCACTCCTGCCAAGGAGCGCCATCAGTACATGGAGAAGCTTTGAACTCAGGCCTTCGGGTTCCAGAGCATGTGCTTATGTCTGCAGCAGGACATTGTCTTACTGCATCACGTAGACCAGCATCCCCGTCACCACCAGCTCCTCGGAACAAAGCTCTAGAAGGGTACTTACTGTCGTTGAGGGCCGTTCTCGGGTTGAAGAGCCTGGGTGGGAGCCCTGCCCGCCAGCTTGTCTCTTCCTTCCTCGTTGATGCCCCAGGACCTTCCTGCCAGTCCAGGTGGGGGGGTTCAAGGAGGAATCACAGACCCCGCCATCAAGATGCTATGGCTTGTGGGGGATCAATAAGGCAGGAGTAAACGTAATTACAAAACACGAGGTAGGTGCAATTGAAGTAGCCGGAGGGTCCAGAGGGGGCAATGGAGGCATCCCAGGCTGGCCGGTGTCCCTACGGAACTCATGCAGTCAGTCAGCTCTGCTGTGTTCCTAGTATGTACTGACGCTGGGGGTCCACGTGGGCATTCACGGTCTGATGGGAGTGGCGGGAGGGGTCTGTGTGTCCCCCCGCCCCCCCCGCCATGAGGCATTACACTAGGTGTCAAGGGGAATTATAGAGGCCAAGGAGGAAAGTGCCAGATCAGGCAGGAAGACCTCAGAGTCATGGTGACAGGTGTGAACTGGCCCCAGAAGGACAGGTGGGACACTGGGAGGCGGAGAAGGAGGGAAGGACACCGCAGGTAGAGGGAAGGGCAGGAAGGGAGGGTGAGCTCAGAGGACAGCCACTGTTGTGGTTGGTTGGGATGAGGGGGCAGATGAGGCTGACAAGGCTGTGGGGCACTGAGCCAAGAGCCCTGAATGCCACACTCTGTGATTCCCTTCTTGCCTGTGAATGAGGTCACCGGAGGAAGGGTGTTTGGTTGGTTCTCTGATGACAGCTTCATAAAGATTAACCTGGCCACTATATAGAAGTTGAAGTCTAGGGGAAATGGCTGGTGGCCAAACCCCAGCCCCCCCAAATTTCAAAAGAAAAACCCACCCTTAGAAAGCTGTTAAACTGCAGGAGACCAAGATGAATGCTTTGGAGCGATGCTGGGAGGGGCATTGAGAGAGGGCCACGGGCCTGAATCAGCAGGCACTTATTGACCAGCTTTAACTGGGAAGATGGTGAGGTAGGACATCCAGAAGCTGGGATGGCTCGGGTGGGAAGGTGGCAATGAGTTGCCGATGCCTAACTGTGTCCAGGAGGGACACCGGGGCCGGCCGTGCCGAACTGGAAGCCGTTAGCCTGTGGGCAGCCTTTCCCCAAGTGGGGTCAGGGAGACAGGGTTTTGTCATCGCCTGAGTTTGGAAAGCTTGTGCCGTAGCCCCCTGGGCACCCAGGGCACTCACGTGGTAAGGCCTCGGAGCAGTCCTGTAGAAGGGAGGCCCACGGGATTGAGCATTTGGCCTACGGATCTGAGCGCCGCTGAAACACTTTGCTCTTACAACCTGTCGACCGTCTGTAGGATCACACCCTGGAAATGCTGAAGTCCTGGGAGTGGATGAATTGGGAGAGGGAAACCCAGCTCGAGAAGGGAGAAGGGAGAAGGAAAGAAGTCCAGAGAGGGACTGAGGGGGCCCCCCTGGGAAGGAGGAGGTTGGGGAAGAGACCAAGGGTCAAGGGAGGGCTGGGCCCCGGCAGCCAGAGGGGGAGGGAGGCCAGTGCGCAGGTGGAACGAGAGGCTCTGAGGTGACGTCGGGAGTTCAGGGGCACCCTCGGAGCACTTGCGGGGAGAGGTGGGGGCTGAGGTCAGGCAGTGGTATGGGCAGGGCAAATAAAAGGCAAGATGATGGCAGAGGAGGATGGGGACATCTCAGGACATCGGATTATTTCCTGCAAAGAAATTATGCGGGAAGAGAGAAAACAGAGGACCTCTGGCTCGCTCCTCATTTCCTTCCCCCTCCAGGCAAGGGACTGGGGCTCCTGCCACTTATGGGGCGGGGCCCAGATGAGTGACTGCCTGCCAGCTCAGCCCCTTGTCAGACAGAGGGGGAGCCCCGGCAGCTCTGTCTTCCTTTTGGGGAAAGGGGTGTGAGCAGGTGACGTGTCTGCTAGATGAGTCACCTGGGCTTTCCTAAGCATTGAAGTCAAGGATTGGGCCAAATGGAGGGGAAGGAGGAGGGAAGTGGAAAAAGGATAAGGAGCTGGCTCTGCCAGTGAGTAAGTTGTTCTTGCTTTGGGGAGGAGCCTTGACCGAGGGAGAAGAGGTACCAGGGAGTGCTTGCAGTTGGATGAGGTGCTTCTGCTCCTGCTGGGAACGGCGGGGGGGCGGGGGGGGGGGGGGGGGGGGGGGGGGGGGGGTGTTCCACTGTGGCCTCCGCTGGTGCCGTCGTGCCCTCCCCCAGAAGCCAGGACAGCGGTTTCTGAGGGCCTGCGTTCTCCACCTGCTTCCTCTCCTCCGAGGCCTTCCTCTGGCACCCAGCTGTCCTCCCGTTTCTTGGGGACTAGCTTCAGGTACAGCCCAGTCTGGGCCATCCGGTGGCTGTGCCCGGATGGTGTCTCGGCCCCCTTGATGCTCAGGGCTGAGGGCTCCTTTTAGGAGGCATGAAGTTTCAGTTTTGTGTTTCTCCAAAAGCTTACTTGGCCCCTCTTCTTTATAGACTAGACTCCTGGAGGAGGATGTGAGAGGAAGAGATTCAGTCAGACCCAGAGGTGAGGACGTGGTGCCCTTCCCATCAGAGAGGCTGCAGCTGTGTTCTTGGGGGGAGGGGGGGGTGCTGTGTCCTATTAGCATCCTTCAAGTCACAAAGCTGGTTTGCTTGGTTTGAAAATCCTATTGTAGGAATGGCATTTACACATTAAAAAGAACTTTTTAAAGGACAATTGAAGGGGCAAGAGAAAATAGGGCAGTCTAGGTGGGGTGGAGGGCAGTTTTAAGTGTCCTTGGCGGGGCTCCCTGCCCAGTCGCCTTCACCCTGGGGCTGGTGCTGCCCGACCCCGAGGAGCTAGCCCTGGGCCTGAGATCCTTGGCTGCGCCCTGCCCCCAGGAGCCAACTTCCCTTCCCTCCCCCCGCCCCAATTTTATTTAGTAACTTGGGTCCTTCCAGCACAAAGTGGGTAGCTGCCCCAGCGGCTTCGGGTTACGGCCTGTGCTGGGCCATCATCTCAGTTGGCCACCTTCCTGGCGGGCTGTAGACGATCTGACATTTTGAGACAAGCCGAGAGTCAGGAGCGGGGACTTTGACTCTTCTCTTAGGAAGCACACACACACACACGCAAGGGCAAGGCTGCTGGCAGACTTTCCCATCGTCCTTATGTTGTCTGTGTTGTATTTTTTTTTAATTGACCGTGGTAATTTTTTAAATCATTAATGTATTGGAATGAGCTGTAGCCCATATCTTGTGCTTCGTTTTTTTCTCCATCTTCTCTTGGCTTCCTAGAGTTTGGACCTATTCCAGGGCTAAGGGCTTTTACTCAAACCGCAGGAAAAGGCTTTAAGTAGCATGTGCATGTCATGCATGCATATATGTAGTCTGGGGAGAAGGCAGATAGGGTTCAGCCTGGGTCCTGAGCTCACCTGAGGCCCCTCTTTGTCATCCTTAAAAGGATGAGGGAGGAAAAGGAATCCGGGACTGTTCCCAGGACGGTTTCCAAGGGGATTACCCGTAGCAAGAGCGGGCCTGAGTTGTTTAAGTGGCAGAGTTGGCCCCAAGATCTACATGTGTCCCCACTTTACTAGAAGAAAACCGCAACACAGCTGCGTTGTACCATTTTTTTGTGGCATGAATGTTCCCTCCTAGGTCATCCTTTTAAGGAGCATCAACTACTTCCCCAGAGGGTGGGAAAGCAAAACACGTACACAAGAGGCTGGGGCTCCGACGGCAGGCAGTGGGGAAATGACATGCAGGCAACTTTCCAGAAACACAGCTAGCCCATCAACTCGCCGATTGTGTAAACTGGATTGAGAAACGCTCTCAGTGATTCTGTAATTGATTTTTTTATGCTGATGTACACTCTAGCATTCTGGTGTTTTTATATTTATGTAATAATTTCTTAAAACCATTCAAGACAGAGAACTATTTAATTTTTTTGAAGAAAGTTGGAAAGGTCTCTCCTCCCCAGGACCGTGACTGGGAAGAGTCAGGGGCCCAGTGGCTCAGCATCCAGAAGCAGCTGCCGCCCCCCCCCGGGGGGCTGGCTAAGCATGTGGCAGCGTGTACAAACAGGCAGCTCGGAGTCACCTGCAGGCTCTCCCCCCAGGGATGGAGCCTGAGCCCCCTCCCTCCCCTTCTTCACTCACCTCCCTGCTGCTGTTGCAACGAGGCTGTTCCGGACTCTCTATGGTGATGTGTATTGGGGTGGGGGGAACAGAGTGTGGAGGATGCTGATGGCCTTCACTTCTCAGCCAGCCTGACCTTTGAATACCTTTGTAAAAAGCATGTATGTATTTATAGTGTTTTAGATTTTTCTAACTTTTGTATCTTAAGAGCAGAGCACCTGTTTAAGCATTGTACCCCTATTGTTAAAGATCTATGTCCTCTCTTTCCCCTGTAAGTGCCCTTCTAATAAACTTTTCATTGGAAAGCTCCTGGCACAGGAGCTCAATCTCTTCTTGCGGGGTGGGGAGAAGATTTTAAAGGGAGCCCCGAGGGATTCCAGGGGCTTCAGCAATGTCTCCAGCACCCCCATTCTGCAACAGCCTCTTTCACTTACCCAGGGTACTCTGCAGGGCCAGCCTGCCCTCCAGCGACACCAGGCGCCTCCCCCTCGCTTCCCACGTCTAAGCACCAGTCCTATGTGCTGTGCCCGTGTGGACATTGGGCATCCAGTCGCTTGTCAAAGACCTTCAAGTACAGGAAAATGAGTGCCGCCACGTTCATCCTCCCAGAGGCGTGGAGGTAGTTTTAGATTCCTACAGAAGGAGGTTTTCACACTTTGTCAGTGCCTGTGAAAACTCCCAAGGAGAAAAAGACTATTTGGTTGAATCTTCACTGACCCAGATAATGTGGATTAAGAAACAAGATTAAAATGAATAAACAATTTTTGTGAGGGGGGCAAGGAGGATGGCATGGGGGCTAGAGTAATCCTTTAACTGGGCCGTTTCTCTAGCATTTTCCTGCTAAGGAACTCCCCAAACACCTCCCCTAGCAGTTGGGAGGCCAATTTCACAGGGCGGCTCCTCCGGGCCTAGAGATTGGGCCCCCACAGCCTGCATCAAATTCCTACTTTCAGAATTATTAGTTCTACCGTCCTGTCCCGGTCTTCCCCAAAGATTTAGCCAGTATATTTCTCAGCAAATGACCCAAATCCCCATCTCTAACCCAACCTTGTTCCTTCAGATCCACAATTTTAAATTCCAGCTGCCTAGTAAATGGGATCCAAACCACAACAGCCCCAACCCAAGTTCTCTTCCACATCGCTCAAGCTGGCATTTTGGGGACTCCCCACTTTTATTAGCCTGCCCCCCGCCGTCCCTCTCCCCCATCCTCCAAGTCCCGAGCGGTTCTATGCATTTCTCTCCCGTGCTCGCCATCCCGTTGACCAAGCCCCCCTTTCGGGAAGGCCCCACTCCCCGACTGTCCTGGCCCTCCTATGCAATCTTCTCTCTCTCTTGGGCCTGCGCCTACTCCTTCTGGGTCGGTGTTCCCAGACCACTGTATGCACTCTTGACATTCCTTCCTGAGTGATCTCACCTCCCCACATGATTTCAAGCCCCATTAATGCTAATGACTCCCAAGTCAGTATTTATAGCCCAGACATCAATCCCAAGTTTTAGACGTGTATCCAACAGCCTACTGGCGCATGGACGTGCCACAGTACCTCGCACGATTGTAAAAGTGGGATTCATCACTGCCCTCGTTAAACCACCTCCCTCTCCTCTGGCCTACACCCCAGAAGCCACAATCACCCCGCACTCCCTCACCCCCACAGCCACCCAGTCCTGCTTGTCCACGCTCCCTGCCCTGTACTTCAGGTCCTTAGCACCCAGACAACCACACCAGCTCAACAGCTCCTGGCCCCCGCCTTCCCGGAAAGGCATCATCCACACTGCCCTGTGACCCGCATGACCTCAGACGCCCCCCCACCCCCCGGGCCACAGCACAAGCACCAAAGCCTTTCTCAGGGACCCCTGGGCTCTCATCACGTGGCCGCTATCAGGCTGTCACAGCTGTTACGGTCTGCAACCCGGCAGCCGACAGGCGCTGCAGCTCCGTACAGACTCCCCTCCGTGCCGAGCCCTCTTCCCCAGTCCATGCTCGCCGCCCCTGGGCCTGCCTGACACCCCAGCAGGTCTCTGCAGCACTTTCACCAACGCTTTGGGACTAGGTCAGACATCTCCTCTAGAAAGTCTCTCACGGATGTATGGCCAGGGGGCCCAACTGTGTGGGGACCTTGTTCGCTTTCCCCTCTAGGCTCTGAGTTCCCAGTGAGCAACGTTTATATCTTCCTGTACCCCTGCCTTCGGGCCACCAATTTTTGCTGAATAAATGAATCCGTTACTGCCCGTATCTAGCAAATTCTACCTTAGCAATATCTTTTACATTTGCTTCCACTGTGCTACCCTATATTAAGTCCTTACATATGCTCGAAGGAACGCCACTCATCAGTTCCGGATTACTGTTTATCTCAGGTATTCTGATGTTCTCCTAACATGTCCCCCCTCTAGTCTGGGGATGGCACATAGTGAAATTACCACCCTTCCATTTCTCTACTCACAGCGAAAACACCACGAATCCCAGTGCTGGGTCTGTTCTCAGCCTCAGAATCCTTCTCAACACAGCTCTCCTGGCAGGTGGTGCTAATCAATTAGTTTGGGCGACTGCTGCTGCTAGATTTCGCAGCAATGTAATTATGGTTAGATGTCTTTTCCGCTCCAAACCCGTTGGGCTCCTTGATTACCTCCCAAGTAGGCACTGGCTCCACGAAGTAGTATTTCAAGGTTTTCTCCCAATTCCACTCCATCCTTATTTACCACTGTTTCTCCAGCTGGACTATGTGGGTTTTCCCAACATAACCCCTTGCTTTCTCTCCATACCTCTGTCCATGCCGCAACTTCCACTGAGAATTTGCTGCCTCCGCTCACCCATCTGCCCCAATTCATACCCTAGCCCTGGCTCAATTTAAGCATCACTTCCTCTACGTCAGTGGGTCTCAAAGTGTGGACCCTGGCCAGAGCATCAGTAAGCACCCGGGCTGGTCAAAACATACTTTCTCAGGCCCCGCTCAGGACCTAGTGAACCAGAAACTCCGGGGCGGGGCCCTACAGTTAACTCCAGCACGGACTCAGGTTTGAGAGCAGTGCTCCAAGCTGTGCTTTCCGCTCTCCCCAGCCTGCTCTGCTCTCTCCTTCCCACAGCAACTGAGGCTGGGCACAGCACTTCGCCTGCTGCCCAACATCCTACCTTTGTGGCCTCATCTTGCTTGCCCCCTACTGTCACCTGGGTTGGACGAGGTGCTTCCAGAGAACCTGCGGCCTTACCCAAGTCTGTGGTCTCTGCCACGCCTGGCGCAGCCTGGCCCAAGAAGGTTCACAATCAGTGCTGGACCCTGAATCCAGTTTCAGCTCTCACCTGGGTAAAGGAATGCGTTACGGTTGCTCTTCCTCAACTCCAACCTGAAGCCTTCTAACTTCCCCACTGACGACATCCTGAGAGGTTTCCAGAGTGGCAGGATTTGGTGCAGACCGTGTCCTTGGGCTTCAGATGAAGAGGATGGTCTCCTAAACTGTGCCGTTTCCTACCCCAGACCTCACTTAGCCCACATTTTTGTAGCATTAAAGCCACCTGGTTGATAAGAGAAAAGGCAGAGGCAATGATTGGTCACCTCCTTCACAGGAGAGAACCAGGGAGGCTGGTCATGAACCGCTTTATGTGACTGTTTATGCCCCCCAGATTTGTGCTTGTGGGGAGAGAGGATTTGGAACTATCAACAGTTACAGACATAACAGCATTTTAGAGGAAAAATTTTTCTTCCCAAACCTGTGTTCTAAAGATGCGGTAATAACTATGATGTCCAGGTTCTGAATCAATACTTTTCCAACAGGAAACAAGGTAGAACCACAAATCATTAAAAGCTGAAATGGGGCTCAGCGGTGTTCCCACAAAAGGCCCACGTGGTTACTATTACCTCTCTTCTTAATTCTTCACTGCACGTCAGAGAAACACCGCAGAATCGAGCCAAGATGCCTCCGAGTCTAGAATTTGGCTTTGGTGCTACAAACACACACACTAAACTCTGGATAAAGAGATCTACATTAAGAGCAAGACTCATGATATTAATAACAGGCCAGGCAGTGCCAAAAATATGAAACTGAGAATTTTTAAGACCTTTTCTGCAACAGCGTCTATGCCAGAGATGCAAGGATAGATCGCTACACTAAACCCTAAGTGGAACCTAAGTCAGAACGTGAACTTCGCCCTGCACACTCAGCCTGCTTTTAGGAGACATACAAATTCCGGGAAAGTTCATCGTTAGGGTGTTCTCCAACCGATCCTGCATGAAGGCAGCACACTTGACTGGATTTTTCACTTTCTCCAACTGAAGTCCTCCAGTAAGATTTGGTATTTAATGACGGAATGCCATACCTGAATTGTTTGACCGCTTTAAATTTGGGGTTGGGGGAGTGAAGGCCTCTACCTCATTACACAATTCTCTGAAGCTCTGTCTCCATCAATCAGAACGTTCAATGAATCAGAACCTCTGACCACACTGGACACATGTTTGCTAAATTTAGCTTTGCATCAGCAAGCACTCAGAAGAGTTCACGGAGCACTCAGCTTACCCTTAGACAGTGATTCTTCTAAGACTGCTTTTCCATGGCAGGCCAGCGCAGGGCCAGGGGCACTCCATGTGCTCTCTCGATGGCCATTGTTATGGGACTGGCCTAAGGTGAAAGAAATCCGACAGGCCACAGTGAAGATGTTTATTCCCCTCCTCTCCACAGTGGGGAACAAGAAGGTAGCCATATGTCCCACTTCACGAGTTACAGGGAGTCTGCAGTGATGGCCTGACATGCTCGATGGTCCTTGAACCACATCCCATATTATTCAGCCGTCCAAGTCTAGCGTCCCTGAATCTCTTGCTTCTCTGAATTAGATGTGGCCAAGTTCTATAAATAGAGAGAAAGCAAACTGGTTCTGTCAATCTTCTCATACTCTGGCAGGGTAACATATTTTAAAATTATAAAAATATCTATGTCTTCATCACTCTAAAATTATTACATAACACATGATTTTCTGAGGGGAAAAAAAAGGTTTATTTTTGTCTCTCCCTACCTTCCAACTCGTGAAGCTTCAAACTTTGTCATCAGTTTCATCAAACTAGCATATGCAAATCGAAGCCAAAATTCAGGGCCTACTATGTGCCCAACTCTGTGTTACACAAATAGAGAAATGGAGGGGAAAAAACCCGAGTCTCACTTTAAATCTCAGACAGACAGTCCATAGTAACTTGTGTCGGCACGTACATAGGTCACATTAGACTTTTTTTTTTTTTTTTTTTTTTGAGAAGGAGAGGAGTGGGGAGGGGCAGAGGGAAAGAGAAAATCTTAAGCAGGACCCTCGCCCAGTGCAGAGCTCAACGCAGGGCTTGATCTCACAACCCTGTGATCATGACCTGAGCTGAAATCAAGAGTCAGACACAGGCGCCCAAGTCCCCCAGGTGCCCAGGTAGAATGCAACTTTTATGGCACTACTAGCTCACGCTCACTCTTCTTAACATGGGCCTTTAGGAGACAAGCCCTGGACACTTTATCCCCCGTATCCCCTGGAAGGGGCCAACAGCCCCAGAAAGCTGAGGTCTTTTTTATTTTTAAGTTTTTGAGAGAGAGAGAGAGCGTGTGCATGCGTGTGCATACGTGCACAAGTGGGGGGAGGGGCAGAGGGAGAAGCTGACTCCCCGCCGAGCGGGGAGCCCGATGCGGGGCTCAATCCCAGGACCCTGGGATCATGACCTGAGCCGAAGGCAGACACTTACCCGACTGAGCCACCCAGGCGCCCCAAAAGCTGAGGTCTTGAAAAGGTCAGTTGATGTTATACTTATATGTGGTAGATTCCAAAATTGTGAGTTTGACAAACTCCAATTACTATTTATGCCTAATGTCAAGTAAGGCTTCCCCCAACACATCCCCTACTAAGAAACAATAGAATCACACATTAGCAGACTTTATAAATAAATCATCTTTTAATCACCTGGCTTTGTTTAATCCACAAAATCACATTCACAGCTTTTTCTAGTCTGTCTTCCCTCCATGTGACCTGATACACTTTTTGGAACCCTTCATGTTTTAAGAAGAACATTCTGCCTTTCATTTTGCAACCCCAGAGCCAACTTCCCTTGCATTCTTAATCAACAGCTAATGCAGTCACCTCAAAGAAACAACGATGGTATGGTGGTCAACTATAGTCTCAAAGATCTTCAGAATAGTTAAAAGAGGAGAGGAAAAAAAAGAGGGGGGGAAAAAGGTCACCAAGCCAGAGAACTGCCAATGTTGCCTTTGATGATGGCTCTTCCTGAATGCTCCAGTCACTGAAGCCTTTCCTCCTGGTGGCTGCCCTGGCCCAGGACCTGGAGCATTCCACTCCTCCTGCCGTTCCTTCCGCAGTGCTTAGAAGGCGGTGCTGGGGGGTCTGAAACTTGTTTCTGCTGGTGACTTAAGGATTTCCCAGTCCAGGCAAGGCCAGGAGTGGCTGTCAGCCTGTGTGCCAGCACCAGCCAGCTGGGGCACCATGCGCCAGTCTAGAACCGTGGCCGTGGCTACCACAGTGAAGGTCAATGGCATGCATTACCAAGTGTCTACAAACACAGAAATAGGGATTTTTATTTACTGTAGTTCCCACCCTTCCTTTGGAGGTGGACCTTCCTGTGGGTGACCCCCCACTCCCAGCCCTGGAAGTCACACAGGCCCTCAGAGCTTCATCGCCTAACCTTTCACATCCTTTCCCCGCTTGCCCACCCTGCGGTGTGACCACGTTAGCAGTGATCTGTTGGGCATTCAGAGACAAAGCGGGGGAAACTACCCTGTTTTGAGGGTAAAGTGTGACGACACAGCTCTGATATGCTGTAAGGAAGACGAGTTTCCTCCTGGCAGGACTAATGTAAAAGCCTCCAGATACGATCACATACTGCCTCAATGGCCCAGAACAGGGAATTCCTGAAGTTTCTTTCTCTCTCTCAAACACAAACCCCCCACCCCACTCCCAAACAGCAACTTAGTAGATGAGTTTGTTTTATCCCTACCGGAGTGGGACACCTTGGCCTCCTCTAGCATTGTCTAAAAATTCACCCGCGTTTCTCAGCAGTTTCTAGCGTGAGCTGAGACACTCTTTCAGATGAAATGCCCAGAGGCGTTTTTAGCGCGAGACTAAGCCGAGGGCCACGGACTCTGGCCCCACCTACCCGGTGGCACAAATTAAATTTGCAGCAGCTTCCTTTCCTACCATCAAAAGCACCAAAGCTCAGGGTGCCAAGCTCCCTGAAAGCGGAAAATCCAGAAGCCCAAGGAAAGGTGGACCAGCTCCTGATCTGCAGTAATCGGGTGTGACCACAGAGGACACTCTGGAAAAGGTGGGCTGGGAATGGCGTGGTCCTTCTGCAACTGGGGCAAATCACACAGACCTCTGAGCCTTGTTTCATTCCCGTCCCTAGAGACAGTGTACTTGAAAAACTCTCACTCCTTGTCGTCATTATCCTCCTCGCTCCCTTACACTATACTGAGGGACAAAAGCCCTACTATCCCCTACGAGAAACTATAAGTAAGGTGGCCCTAGAACTAAGTCAGGTGGCCAACAGGATGATGGGAAGTTAAGCCAAACAGAACAGGGTGAAGCAGGGAAGTGTCTGAGGCTGTCAAATCCTAGCACGAATAATTTAGTGTTCTTCATCAGATGAAAGGCCTTCAATTTCATCTCTGTCTCCCCCAATTGCCATCCAGAAGGCTTTGGCCACCTGTGGAGAGAAGCGTGCAACACATTTTAGGTAAGAGCTACCCTGCAGCTTGTGTCATGAGTTAGTCAATATGCTGAACTGATCAAGGCCTAAAATTCTACCCCCTGCCCTCCAGTTCTCCCGCCCCATGTATCCAAACCCTTGAATACCCTGACCCAGGACTTCCACTTCTAGAATTTATACTAAAGATGAAATCAGAGTTACATACAAAGGTGGTGGATGTGTAAGGTTATGCACAGCTTCACTATTTATAGAAGCAAAATATGCACATGACCTAAATGTCCAAAAGGGAAATGAATAAATTAGGACACATTCATACAATGAAATACCATAAACCACATACATTTCCTGCCAAGAACATGTGTTGTGTTGGTAATAACAAAACAAAACAAAACAAAATGACTAAGGGTTTTCCAGCCCAACAGTTAGGAAGGCAAACATCCTGAGTCTCAATGAAATTTCCATGTCACTCAACATACATTTGAAAAATCTTGGTTTGACTACAGCAATTATATTACTACTGTGTAAACATCCAATTCGTTCCAAGTTACTATCCAATGGAAAGTTCACACTGAAACAAGTCTAGAAGTCAACAAGTGTGATACATAATTCTAACAGCATCGGACCTTTTCATAGATACTCAATAAATACCTGACTGGTCGTCTCACCTTTTCTGCATGCAACTTTCTTTGCTCGTGAGGAAGCGTCGCAGCCTTGTCTAGGGAGAAAATAAATCTTAAGAAATTCATCTAATAGCACAGGAGAGTCTGGAGTGTATGGATGTTCTAACACTAGAAGATGGGAGATGGATTTCAAAGACAAATGCTTATGGTGCAGTCATTACAGCTGTTAGGGAGTTTAAGTCTTCCCGATTTTCCACACGGGTATGATGTGAGTAAATTGGCAGGGATCTTACTGATTCCAGGTTAATGAGACACACTGAAAGAAACCAAGAGAGGCAAAAGAAGAAGGGACAGTAAGAGGAAAGAGAGTGAAGAAAGAGGAAAACTTTCCCTGGGGAATTTCTACCAACAGAGGATGACACAGTCCCCCAGGCACCAAGTGTCTCCAGACAGCTGAGACCAGAGCAGGGAATCCAATCAGCCGTTACAAAACAAAATCCTACCACATAAAAGAGAGGAGCACCAAGAAGGGAACGTGTTAGACATGATGGAGCCAATTACCTTTCATTTCCTTTAACTTTGAAAACAGTCTTTCAAAATTCTCCAAATCTCCTCCGCCAGTAGTAAGACTGGCCAATTCTTGAATATCCAGATCTAACATGGGATCTGAAAAAAGGATTTGTCACATTATTTGCCAGATATGACTTCTATGTGTGCTAAATACACAGTCCTAAGGCAATGGATCCTAGCTTTGACGGGAGTCATCACTGAATGAGTACTCCACGTGTGGGAAAGCTGCTCGGCTGCTAGCGGGCCTTCACAAAAGAAGAGTAACTTACTTGATCCTTACAACATTACACTGAGGCAAAGAATATGGTTTCATTTTAGAGATGAGAAACGTAGAGCTCTGAGTTCAAGTGACTCGCTCAAGGTCACAGCTAGTGTGAATGCAGATTCAGACTTAGGTGTTTCCAACTCTAAAGGCCACCCTCTCCACTGAGGTGCACCGATCAACAACGGATGTCTGGAATTTATACTGTATTTTCCTGTACAACCAAATATTTTCATATCTATTACTGACAGCCACTATATAAGGTGGTTAGGACAGATATCGATGTCTGAAATTTACACATGAAGGGGCCAAGTGTAAAAATGCACTCATCTAAAATTACAGCTACTCAGAAGTAGAGTCAATTCCTATTTTCTTACTACAAATCCTTTATTATTTCTACCACAGCCTCTTACCTCTTTATCACAGTTTGTTTTTAATCAGAATTCTTACTCTCCACTCCATGCTGAACACCTCCAGGAAGTCTTCCCTAGCCAGCCCAGCTCACAAGTCTCCTTCCCTAGAATTCATCCCATACTTTTTATTTTAGACAAAGGGAGAGCGTGCACGTGAGCCGGGAGACGGGGAGAGGGCGAGGCGGGGAGAGAATCTTCAAGCAGACTCCCTGCCGAGCACAGAGCCCGATGGAGGGGCTCTTTCCCACGAGCCCAAGATCCCGACCTGAGCCAAAATCAAGAGTTGGATGCTTAACTGACTGAGCCACCCAGAGGCCCCATGACTCCATTTCATTTTTGCAACAGTATTCTGAGGAAAAATTTTATTTTACAGAAAGGGAAACTAGGGCCCACAGAGGCTAAATAACTTACTCAAGATCATCTCACCACTACTGGAAGAACCATGATTTGAACCCAGTTGTCCAGGACTCCAAGTCCACGACTGTAAGCATTATACTGCAAGGCCTGTCTCTATAGTTTTAGGGTATAAGCCGCTTGAAGACAAGGACAGCTTCTAATTCTTTGCATCTACTACAATGCTATACAGATAATTTGGTGTTAAGAATGCATTTTAGCTCATAAATTTGCTTTGGTTCAGTGGACATTTCATGTAGGCAGTTGATAGACAGGGCTGGAGATAAAAATTTGTGA